ACGGCACAAATGGCCTTTGTGGTAGCTCATTGGCTTGCTTAATCAATCTAGCTCCGAGGGCATTATTAGAGTCAAGGATTGTTGCCTTCTGGATAATTATGACGTCTTTATGATCGTCCTGCCAAAGTCAGTAGCCTTGCCGCCTCCTTTTTAGAGCAATTGACAGTTCAGATCCCACTGTACAACTCTTGGAAAGTGCCCCTTGTTCTGACTGATATTCACCTTCTCTGGCAGGCGTCGTTAACCCATAACGATTCTCCTGAACCTCGGGTTACCGTTTCCAATGAAGACATCAATCCGGAGCGACTTCGTGAGGCGAGAAGTTACGTTCATACTTCCGTCCTCAATGAGTTTTACATGCTGCCTGGGGATCGAAAAATGGTCAGTTTAGAAATGGTTTAATCCCACTTTTTTCATTTAGGTTTGCACATCATGACACTGATGCAGACGTCTTTCTTCCACTTCCCCTAGATTGAATTGGGACTGCAGCCTCGACGATGCATAACTGATTTTCTAATCACTGGAGTTGCTTTCAAACTTGATATTTCGACCCCTCGTCAATTAGCCCTAGTTGATCTTCCTTCGCCTACCACGCCTCCACTGCTTCCCACCATTTCATCATCACTAGAACTACTGACCACAACTCCGCAGTTAGACGTTTCTGTGGGAGCCACTGAAGTCCTCCGCGATCCCTTGAACTCCTCAAATCCGTCGACAGATCTCTTGGCATCCGGACGCCTTCCGTCGTCCCTTGTTCAGGGAAAGGTTTGCTTCCCCTCTGCTTCATCGGATCTACGCTTCCATTGGAATGTTGTGCCACCACAGGCACTTCTGAAGGTACTGCAGCATTGATGAATTCCACGGACTCGTTTTTTCCGCTTTGCCTTAGGTATCGTTTGGTGGATTTCCCCAATCCCTGTTCGAGGGTGAAATTTGCGGTCACAGCTTCACTCTCACGAATGTTGGAAGTTGTACACTGGAACAGCTGTGGATCACCTCTTCTTGGCCCAATTTCTTCCTCCTTTCCAATACCACCCCGTCCATCGTTATGACATTGCCAAAAGCAGTTCCACTGGAGGCCTCGCAGTCGAGAAATGAAAGATTTTGGATTCGAGCACCTCCAATAGGAATGCGCCGACTAGGTCGTTCCCAACAAATTGAGACTGTTGCGATGTATTCATCGCCCCAAATCCCATATTGCTGTCAATTTCATGTGATTTTCGGCTACACTACAAAAGGCGAACCCTCAGAGTAGGTTCTGAAGAATGGAAACTACTTATTATTTGTTAGTAGGTTGAGGTACTTGCAACACGAGGCGAAATTACAGCTACTGCCATCGCTACAATTTTCTGCCACCTGTGCCAGAACCCAGGGCTCTGAAGTGGACTCATTGATGATTACTTTGAGGTGTAAAAATGTCTCTCTGCAGGTGAGTTTCCCCCCTACTTAATTTGCGACTCATTTTCCAGCATTCCTTCAATGTGATTCAATTGGCCTGCCTGGATGCTCTCTGGAACATTAACATTGTGGCTCCCAAAGACGCGGCAGCTTCCAGGAGTGAGTTTCCATGTGTTTCGTCGATGTTTTAAGGCTAGCTTTGATTGGTTCAATTCCGTCGTTTTTTTTTTCTAATCAAGACGGTGTTCTCATGCTTCCCACTCGAGAGGTGACTTTTTGCGTTCGCGCAACAAGACGAATATCCGCCAAAAAGGAGGTCGATAGTACCGACGGTGTCTCCATCATCGCGTTGCATCCAGCTTCGGATGAAATTGATGCACTGGCCTCTCCGTATGCTCAATTTTTCCACCTCTCTACACAGGCTGCCCAAATTGCAGCCCGTGGGGTACGTTATTCTGATCCAAGTCCTTGATCGGTCTCCTTGGTTTGAGGTTTGAAAACTATGGCTGAATTGCTATACTCCTTTGAGTTTGTGCGGTGTGATTTAATCAAACCTATCCAATCTTTTGGTGTCAGAATGGTACCTCAACCAACTGGGGCGAAACAACAGCAGAATCAGCAGCTCCAGAGACTGACTTGCAGCCGAAAAACTTCTACATACTCGCTTTTTGGCAGGTGGTTGATCAGAGCGATTCCCTTACCAAATGTCAACGCTTTGGTCAGAGTCACATCCGTGTTGTCTATGCGCACGCACCCAAAGCCGTGAAGTCTGTAAGTTCAGTTCAATGTGGTTCTTTAAGGGGAGAGGTAGTTACCGGCCCTCTTTCCTGTTACTAGCCCACGGGAAACAACCTGGCACAAATGTTGGCTTCCATTCCCTCTCTGTTACCGCTTTCTTCACTCCTTCGTCTGCGATTGTATCATCCGTTCCGAGTCGTGCATAATTTTGCTAATAGGAGTGAGAAATGTGTGCCTGGTTTAAGCCCAGCCTTTAAAAGGTACTGTTTGCTTAGGTTCTTTTTGGTACCGTATTTACTTAATTAGTATAAGTAGTGTACCCGTTTCCATAAAAAAATTGATAAAGTTTTATTCCGGAGGATAAAGCAGTAAAAATGTTGCCTTCTTAGTCAGATGTCTGTGGTGCGAATTTCGTCGCTGCTGGTGATACTGCTGAGTCCACTGATTTCTCCCAAATGCTGCTTCAACAACATGAAAGATGCTAAATGCATAAAATAACTTCTGCCTTGACAAATGCCAACTATTGCATGACTACTCCTTA